CAAAAGCAGAAAAGTAAAAAATGGGAGCTAACACGACCGACATTCGAAATTCTAGAGACTATATGACGAAAGTTCGCCACGTGTGCTGGTAATGAAAGAGCTTTATCGTGAACTGGGCTGAAGGTGGACACCGTTTTGTGTAAAGCCGCTGGGACGATTGTACGTGTATAGGATGGGTATTGGGTCGGGAAGCCGTCCTAGGAATCCCTACATACATGTATATATATATATAAAATTTTGAGATGGGACCAGTGCTCTCGGAGAATGGGGGTAAATGGTTTGTTATTTTGGAACACCAGATATATGGAAGTTACGAGGAAAAACTATTGGTAAAAAGCGGCCAATGTGTACAAAAAGATAAAAGAAAAAAACAATGAGTACAATTATTACGAAGAGTTTTTTGTTGTTACTTACCTGTTGGTTCGACAGTTTTCTCCTTACGAATCTTCATAGACAGAAAAACTCGAGCGAGGTTTCAATTAAAACTGCATCTTCGTACTCAGTTGTTTTCGTTACATAGATGGCCACTTAAAGTAAATCAAGATATTATATTTCGATCAATACTACCACTATGACAACTATGTATTATTTCGAAGCTGGGGAACAATGGCAATTACTAACTGGATGATCCGGAGCGGATACGATGGTGTGACTACACTACCAAATCTATAGCGGGGCATCTTGAGCGATTGAAGACACTCATTCATTTCCGATAGTCCACCTGGTGAAGGTCTTCTATTAACAATAGTTAACTACAATGACCTCTACCGCGTAACAACATGACTATACAGTGCTTCTCTTTATCGGTATAAATAACAAATACCACTCACATTGTAAACTCTATTCTTTATATACATAGATTTGTTTACGTTATTCACGGGAAGTTTTTAAACAATTTACTTATTAGTATCATTCATGATGAGTTTTAAAAAGTGTTAGTCTTGCGTTATAATTTATTTAGACCAAGTCAATTGTCGACAATTCCTTATTTTGACTGCTACATTTGATTAATGTATCATGAGACTATACCCCTTTTTTCATGTGGAATCGTAGAGGATCACGGCCAGCTGTTCCAGTCCAGCCGTATTTACCGCGTTGATTACCGCGAAAATGAGTACTCGTTAATAGGCAGTTTGAAAAATGTAAAAGCTGCACTGATCGAGCGCCTTATCTACTATTTCGAGATTACTTATTCGAAAATTGCTACTTTCTTTGTGTTTGGTTCTCAGCACGCTTCATTTGAAGTACATAAGGGTGGGGGGAGGGGGGGGGGCCTTCTCGGTATCTGCCGAACTTCATTAAAGCAGTTTTATTACGTGAGTATAAGCAATCCGTATTCAAAGGGTTTACATTTTTGACAAAAGCCCGCTTTGCCAATCCTTGCAACAGCCACTTACCCCTCTTCGAGCGCAATATTCTGATTTAGCTCAAAATTCAAGCGAACCATTGGCCAATAATAGTATATCATCTATGTCTTTTTAGTCATATTGATAATTACGGTAATTTCCACAATGACTCTAACATAACCCAGATCTTAGCCTAAATTTGGCAGGTCATTGTCAGCTCAATAGATGGTATGATGATTTACTTTCAACAATGATTGTAACAGCTATTGAATTTATATGAAGTAGAACATTTTTTTAAATTTTAACTCTACACTCAATGAATTTGTCTTGGGATACTTCTAGATAATTGCCATAAGATAGAATTAATAGCAAAAAGAATAGGATTGGTACTTTTGCTCCGTGATGAAAAAAGTTTCATTTCCGAAAATTTTGCCTAAGACCTTCCATTAAATGCTGATTGAATAGGTCAAATCTGTGGCTACTGACATGGTATGTCCATTTCATTACTTGCCATTCTGCACCTCGAAGACATAACCCAGGGCAGGATTTTCCATGACTTTCTTTAAACCTGCCCTACGCGACTTCCCGCCAAATTAGCACTTTTATGTGCATACGTAAAACAAAAAAGTTAGAATTTAGATAGAACTTGGTTTTCATGGAGGCTTATATTGTGTAACACAACGTAGATATGTAGAGCCGCAATCTGTGCCCTGCTCTAGTCCTGTTTGAGTTTACTTATGTAGTAGTTGCAAAAACACTCCACCACTAGAAGCGCTAAAGTTAAATCATGATATTATCCCTCCAATGTTTCTTTGATACGAGGTACCCTCTGCCGCTGTTGGTCTTCAGCATTTTTTATTAGCCCGTCATGTAACATGATGTGGACACAACCTGTGGCAGCTTCGCGGTAATTTGAAGGGCATGAGGGTTTGAGGGCATCGTTCATGGGTCGTCTCGTTCTGGAATGTTCGAAATAATACTTGAAACAAGCGCTTCTTTACAACCGAGACTAAATGTAGAGGCGTTTCCGTCAGGAGTTCACTAATGCGTCCCAAACACCTACGGTGCCCTGTTGCCCCATCTAGTAAAGAACCTCATAAGCGCGACTCCCTCTTCCTAAAAATGTAGGCATCTTTGTCTAGACGGCGGTGTCGTTTGTCTTTTTTTCTGCTTTTTCAGAGCAGATTCCTATATTTCATTCACATGTCTGTGCTAAGCGATTTTGCATAGAATGTCTGAAGACGTTGTCAGGCGGAACTGGGGCAGATATTACTACTCGAATGTAGGGCAAGCGTGTAAGTTGCGCTACGAGGTCGCCTGAGATGAGTATGTGGATTAAAAATGTATTGAATAGATCAGTGGATAAAGAGAACATTAAAGCGAAGAATCATCTGCATTTACATGGCGCTAAATGTGTTTTATTTATGGAACAAATATATTGCATACTAACGGAATAACTGATTTAACGGCAGATTCAGCATAAGTGGAACTACCCGCGGAATTTAACTAACGTATTGTCTTATGCTTAGATGAAATGCAAACTTCGAGTAAAGCACAACCGTACGAAACCACAGATAAAATAGACTAGTTAAATAAAAGGCGTAGACCTTTTGCAGAAAGAGTCTATCTTTTTTATCTAAGGTAAGTTTTATCACGAATCAGTTATCAATATAAAGCCATTTTTTAAATAGACATTTTATTTTCATAAGAGCGATGCCATATATACGGCAAACTATGGCCAACGGGTAGTGATAAAAAAATGTACCGGCTACCGTTCTTTTTTTTTTTTTTGTCATTTTCTGGCATTATGTGGTCAACGCGAAAAAAGCTCCGCTGCGAAGGGCAAACACTTTAGAGAGTGCATCAGTTGTTTAAGATTAGTCGTTGGTCCTCTTTCATTCTTTGTGCGCCGGTGGCAACCAACTTAAGCTATATGAGTTACGCTTATAAAAAAAAATATGTAATATCTTGCTACAATTAGTATGTTTTTTCTTCTGGCCTCGTTGTGACAAGAAGTAACATCGCATAATGAAATCCATGGCTACAAGACGCGCGACTGTAATTGGTTTTATTTACCTTCGAATACGCTTTCTATTGGTAACATCTAATGCCATAAAAAAAAAAACGTGTGGTATCTTCTCAATGCCGCATACTGCATAGTCTGTATAAGACATGGGTCGTTGTTCAGAACGTGCTAAGATCAGGATATGCACGTAAGGTAGGCAAACCGAACAGATGTTTAGTGCACCTCTCGTAGAACACTTTATTGGGTGCTCACGTCCTTCGTTCAACTCGCTTTCTGATAATATCGATGCGAGCCCTGTCTTTTTCGATGGCATCGTTCAATGGGTATATGTATGGATATGTATGCAGGGTCTTCGAGAAGTTACTTAATCATATCGAAAATTAGCCAACATTTTTGGTTAGCTCTTCAGGTCTCGTATATTGTTTTCATTTTAAAACCGGCCTCATTCTCTATGTATCTATTTATATCTAGAAAACGAAAAACAGCTTTTCGTGACAATACCTTCAAAGTCGTCGAAACATTTCTCGGTCTGCGGACGAGTTGCCGAGCCCCTTAGACATTTCTTTATATGCAGGCCATCATGAATCCCCATCCACGCTGAATGTACGAAGCGCACTGGTTATCACAGCCCTGCCAGGTGTTCTAGTTAAGATAATTCAGTGCACTCATTCTCCTAGCTTCCTTCGCTAGTGCTCACCTCCACCATAGAACACACTAATTATCCCTTGTAGGTAAAGACACAGGCAGTATATCTACGTGTAGGAATAGCTATAGCAAGCAGGTATAAATGACCCTGTCAAATAGTTCCGTTCTGTATTTAGCGCAACTCGTGCTATGCTCAACCCATGCAACCGATGCTATCTAGCTGACAGGACCCGGAGACACTTCCAGTAAAAGTTACGGCAAGGCCACTATGTTCTTTTGTTAACGATTAAGCATGGACAAAGCGAATGAAAAGGCGCTGCCAGACTTCCCATGTAGGAGACTAGGTGAAGACATGAAGTAGGAATCAAGTTACGATAGGGAATTTTGCCAATGTCAACAAGCAATTCAGGACCCTTGTTCCGCGTACCGCCAGGACGCTATAACCAAGAGATACAAACCAATCTAGCAATCACCCTTCTTTAAGTGTCTCAAGGCGCTCTTGATCGGACCCTCGAATTCAAATGGATCCGCTTCTTTAGGCGGAAACTAATTTTAATTTTTGCAAATCATTTATGAGCATTATTCTCAACTAAAAAAACGCCCGTTCTCATCTCACCCAGTTTTTTTTGGGTCTCTTTTTTACGGCAATGAAAGAAATAAAGGAAAATTGGATCGACCAAAAATTGTGTGTTTGGAGTCTAGACCCACGGTGAATGCTGTACACTCAAAAAACCAATGGCAAAACGACGACAAGGACTTTTCAATGACGTGCGACATTTAACCATTGTTGAACGAAGCATTAGAGACGGATTGCAAAAAACAAAAGCGAATTTGTCAGCTTCGGTTGTGTCCTTAGTGCGGTAGACTTCCTATCTGACTGGACTGGTCATCTGAAAAGCCGGTTCATTACTATGGATCGACTCAGCTCGACGTTCATGCATACATTTATGTGTCTGGTAATTGTTGTTTCTGTTCTTTTGCAGGTGGTGAAGATGCTGATCGTGGTAGTTGTGCTCTTTGCAACATTGTGGCTACCGTACCGTGTACTGCTCGTCTACAATTCGTTCGCCAGGAAGCCCTACCTGGAACTGTGGTACCTGATGCTCTGCAAGACGCTCATCTTCGTCAATTCGGCGATCAATCCTGTACTCTACAACGCCATGTCAGCCAAGTTTCGGCGCGCTTTCCGACGTACCCTATCATGCGGTAAGCACCGTGTAGCAGTAGCAGCTGCAGCAGCAAGGGCAATGCGTCGTTAGCAAAATCGCCGTGATTTTGACAAGGCTAAACAACAGCAGTTCCAGCGCGGTGGCGGGCACAGTTACCGTTAGTTTCTATAAGAGAGCAACGGTCTTAGCGTCTCCAGCTGACTCCACGTCGCTAACGAAAGGTCACCGCAAGTAGCGAACCCGGACATTACCAAGCCGATGCTTTAGGTGTTGTATTATAATTGGCTGCCTCAGTAAACATGCTCTTAATCCTTTTCTCAGTGTTTTCTGTTTTGAGGAGATCAAGGGTCAGTGCCTTGTATTGACCAGACTCTGCCACTATTTTTCTTCTGCTGCGGCTTTTTCGTCCATTAAATTTGGATCCTGTATCCTTGGACCCCAAATCTGAATTGATTTTAATATTGATTCAAATTGAAGCTTGTCTAGTGCTGACTAATATCATGCAATAGCTCGCCGGTATTGACCAAAGGAAAAACCTCTTTCAGCATCAGTAGCAGTGGATTGCTTCTTTGGTGATTAGGATTCTAGCAACGTGGGTACAGCAAACACCCCCTTCATCTAACAGAAGCTGGACAGCATATGTGGCACAAAATCTTAAGCAGACTATTAGTAATATTTTGTCAAGAATTATGCTGCTGTGTGTATGTATTTCGGTTGAGTTTCCTCAGCTTAAGGTATATATGTACACGTAACCAATGCGACAGTTCGCAAAAACGTTCTAAATAAACCGTATCCCTTAAAGCATAGCCGTGTAAAAATGGCACGTTTATCATTCGCGCGTTGCCGCTGTAAATGTCGGTTACTTCATCGTCTAACAAATCCGCGCCCTTAGATACAGCCTTGTACTGTGGTTTCGAACAAATACCCTGTAAAAAATTATCTAACTAGTCTGAGTAATAGTTGCAAAGAGGCTTCATCACGTTAAGACATCCGGTATTATAATATTGGACTTCTCTCCTGTCCTCCAATAGTCCCAAGCGCTTGCCAGTTTTTACTTATCTCTGCCTAAATCTCCATCATGGGAACTATAGCCCGACACCTGTTCGAAGCGACAACGACATAAAGAGGCTGAATCGGGTTAATTGTGGATCGAAAAGATTACTAACCACCCAGATTGAGCCTTATTTTCCTACAGGGTTAAAGCAGCTCACGTGGTGAAGGGGCCCCGATGGGGTTTTCCGTTTCCGTGACTGGCCCACGTTTGGCTCAGAGGTTCCCTCCGCCTTGCCGGAAGTAGCCACTAACCATTGTTACACGTTGTTTGGAACCAGTATGTTTCCGTGGTTAAGAAGGAAAAATCTCTCTCTTTGTATCAAAGTTAGCGCGCTAACCGCAGAGAACCCACGGCGATTTCTTCACATGCTTGCTCGACCCAGTTGCGAGTTGCGCCGCAGGTTATACGAAAAAGGAGCTAGTCATAGGCGGTACAGGCAGTTGGGGCGGTTTTTCAGCTGGTAAGCCCCTACGGCCAAATTTTTAATTAGTTTTAACATTGGGTCATCGTAACAATAGACGTTGGTTTTACATTACTACTACTACTGTTGATAGTGACTTTAGTGACGCTGAATAATGTAAGACATCGTCTGTCTGACCCTACTCGACGGCGCAACACGCTGTGCGGAAATAGTAGCCTACCTTTCTTTCTTACCTCATACACCACCAACTTGGTATTGCGGAAGGGAACAGTGGATGGGAGACAAATGGCGGTTATCCATTAGTCGAATTATGCAAATGATATCACCGATGTTGCCTTGTTTTCGAAACGATACTGGGTACATCCCACATATATATATATAAATGGGGATGCTAGAAGTACAAAGCTGTGCACGTGTGTCCGTGAATAAGAAAATAAGAAGGTCTAATATATTCAGTGGATCTTTTTTAAGTATTGTTGAATAAAGGGGTGTAGCGGAAAACGTACCCACTAACTGCATATATCGATTCCTTTACTGGGACGTGGTCAATTTTTTGCTCAGTGACTGTGCATCTGTGAGCTTGACACGAGAATGCTCTAGGGAGAGATACCTAAATCAGAGGTTATGGCGTTCACGTCGCTGCTCATTCGAGCGCGTTAAGCTTGCTCGAATGAGCAGCGGTTTGTAACCAACAGGACCAGGCGACAGCCCATCTCTGTAGCCGTACTAATTCGGGTCTTGAATACACTCAAAAAAGGTTGCACATATGGAAACATATGAAGCCTTACTTACTGATGGGTCCTCGGCAGGTATCCCAGCTCTTCTAAAAGATCAGTGATCTCGCAGAAGACAACGCACATTTGGCCAGCATGGTGGTTCTTCGATGTCGTCTTAATCCTATTTACGAGACGAAACTCCATCAGCGGCTGCTTCGACCGGTCGATAATTAGGTGTTCATTATCAGCATTTGTCACAATACAACAATATGCAAGCTCAGTGAGATACTCATTAATTATTTTTTCTGTAATTGTTCCATCGAGCAACAAATACTCAATTGTCATGCTACCCGCTTGAACGCCCGTTCTTAAAACTACACTTAACCATTCGTATTAAACAAGCATCGACTGCTGACTCTACATAGACAGAAATGCAGATAGTACCTTATGCGCTAACAAGGTGTTTGATTATCGAATAAAATCCAGCAGATTTTCAGATTTGAACCACAATCCTATTTCGGCAAATAGAATGTGGCTTTTTTTCAGTCTGTATGACAGTTTTAGTTACTAAGTATATGTGGATCTAAAAGTAATCGCATCAATTCCAGCGTCCTATCCCTAAATAACCCTAATAAACCCTATAGCAGGCTTAAAGTAAAATCATTGTATGTTAGGAAAGACACTCCCAACTTACTGCTGAAGAAATAAATAAGTCTTATTTTCGTTATCAGTACATACGAATGAAGAACTGAAATTTCTGTTTACTTTGATTGATATTAGTACGAAATGCCTTATGAAAAATGAATATCCATATAAAGCGAAACTATTCCCTTTTAAATACGTGCTGAGTTAATTATTATACAACCACGATAATGTAGTTTTATAACTTAGCATTAACAGAGCAATATGATAATTCACTGAGGTAAACTAGATCCGAAATAGCTTAGTTCACTTGCAGTATTGGTTCAGTAATTATATCAATGACATGGCTATAGGTGGCCTCGTAGTGTACACTTTTAGATAGCCTACGTCGGATCTTCCAGATACGTTAAGTAACTTTTCCAAACAGGCAGCAGAGCCTTTGGAATATGTAAATATGATTAGAACGATAAACTTACCACTTCTGCAATACTAGAGCACGGATAAATAGCTCCGACACTTTTTGCATCTTTACACACCTTCGCTCAATGTACAGATGTACAGGGAATTTTAAAAAAATCAGGTTTGCGAGCCTCATTGTTGCACAGAGTGACCGTCCACCTTACCAAAGTCTTGTTCTAATTTTGTCATTATGTTAAACTCGGTGAAAGGTTAGACTAACATACAATCATTCTTAACTTGTCAACCATATACGTACGAGCAATTTGTTCATACTTTGTTGTCCTGTGCATCGGCAGCTTTGATTACTACGAATGTTTTTATTTGCACTTCCTGTACATATTTTGGGATGCATGAACTCAGGACCGTTGTAATCGACGGAAACAATCAACATACGCTACAGAGGTAACATAATAGAACGCATGCTTCAGTTGACAGGCAATCATTCAAATATTGTCCCGTAATGTTTCTGCTCCCTTGTGGCTTCTTGACTACCTAACCTTCTGCACCATATTCTCTCGTTAGAGCTTCAGGCGAAGCTTCCCTTCGAGTAAGATTTCTTTAAAATTGTTAAAGAGTGCAATTTTATTTCATTTAAGTAAGCTTCCTTTGCAACACTAATATCACAATCGAATTGATCTTTTCCTATCATAGACTGCTTATTCTGTTTAATCTGAAACTACTTGCTTCCATCAGAACTCTATCCACGTCTAGGATGCCTTCAAAGATCTCATGCGTTGCCGTTTCGGAAGCGGCATTCCCATTTACGCCAAGGCTGTTTTATCCGTTCCCTTTCACAGTGCGGGGCTTTCTACTTCCTTTCTCATATATCTTTGCTAACCTGCACCTTACGTCCTTTCTCATATATCTTTGCTAACCTGCGCCTTACGTCTTGCCTTCTTTTTCCTCTTATTCCTCTTTTTGATCCTTTAAATTCCCAATGTGTTAAGTCACTTCCTGCTATATTGCCATTACGGTTGCCGTCGTCAATGTTTTTGCTTAGTCTCAATAAAAGGTACTTTACTCGAAGTTGTGTAACAGCAGTAGCATCGGCTAGGATCGCGCACGACCAAGTGTATCATTGCACTCCGATAGGCTATACCGCATCGTGGTCTGGGTTCGAACCCGGGCGTGGATACACTTCGTTTCGTTCTGGGAGCCAGCCACCCATCCGATGGAATGCCTAACAACGATACCGGACGTAAAACTCGAAAACGGGCTACACCGCTTAAACCGTGGCCATGCTGAGTCTCACCGAATGCTTTGGGACCTCGCAAAAGCTTTTATCATGAAATGTTGCCTGCATTACTTCTGTTCTTAAAGTTGGACGCTTGCTCAGTCTGTTAGCAAACTCAGATTCAAAGGTGTTGCCAAGGTCTATAGGGTAGCGAGCAACTTCGGCCTCAGGCCTATTTTAGTACTCATGTACTTATTGTACTAGATTCCTACCCGTCCACTGTCTGCCGACAACGGCTGGCTTTCCCGGTGCATTCTAATATTCAAATAACGATGTATGACTGATTATTTTCGGGGACTACTCCATTATTCCCGCATTATGTGATAACATGTGAGGCCCGCTACTCCTACACACATGCCCATCTTTCAACCTACCCGCTCAGTAAATAAGATCTTCAAGCGCTTTTCACTATTGTCGTTAAAGCATTTGTTGCGGAAACAACTGAGACCATAAAATACGACCATTAAAGTAAGCCGATATGTTAACCACAATTTGTCACTAACTAATATAGTAGACCGTGTTTTACGAAAATAGTAAACTATTTCACATCTACGGATCCTAATGGTTTTATCGTCTACGGTGATATATCTATTACATTATCTTCAGGCTGCGGGTGTGGAGATGTACGCTTGGAGCAACGAGGTTTTTCAACAGTCATGACCGTCCGCCAGCAAACGAATTTGCATCGTCCTTCGCGAAAGGATCAATACTAAGGACGCCCTCAAATCACTAGGACCCGTTCCCTTGATGCAGACGGATCAACGAATCGAGTCAAGGGAAGGAGCTATAATTTGCTTTTCCATTGAGAAAAAAATATATAGCGTAAAAGGTTAAATATTTTTTGGTTAGCGCGAAGATCTGATGAAGCGATGAAATTGCTTGGTCGTCTTCAATTTTTGATATATATTAAAAGTAATATGTAAAATGAAGGGATACCTGGCGTGCATGAGTAAAGTAAGTCTGTCCAACACAGAAGCAGCTCTATCGGGCTTTTTTTCTATACATCCAAACACAAAGAAACACCTTGTAGGTAAGTCAAACAGTTGCTTTTATGCATTAATCATACACTGGCCGTATCATTTACAACTGACGCGGCTCTCTTTGCTACCAGCGAGCCGCTCCGTATATGCGTATAAACTATATCGCATGTTCCGAGCTCTGAAACTGACGTTAGCAATGATTTTAGACTATTAAGCCAGATAATTAGAGTCCATGCTGGAGATCCACAATGTTCCATTCTATTAAAACAGGCAATTACCTAACATAATGTCCTAAGTTACTTTTGAGCCGGAAGGAAATTCAAATTAAAAGCCACCTTTCCCTCCTTTAGCGTCCTTGTCAAGCTACTCTTGTCCTTTTACTAAATGCGTATGAATATGAATACCGGCCTATGTTTCTAGCACCAACGCTACAGCGTTCTAATTGACTCTGGCTAAATACTACCGCCCACGTACCGGGAACTGGTTTATAACATGACATTGTTTTACAGACCAATTCGCAGATTCGAGAATAGAAAGCCATGTAATATAGATAGGATTGTACCATAAGCGGATATTATAGGCAACAAAGGGCACAAGGCGAAGCGAGCATTTCATTGAAGGTCCAGGGCTGATGTTGAACATTGATGCTGTGTATAACCGCCAAGAGACGAACGCCGAGTGTCGTGTCTGTCGCATTCTGTGGTCCTTGTCTTGGTTGGCCATGGTAATTTTCTTAGAGGGTCGACGATATAACCCTCCCGCATGTATAAACACGGTGTAAAGATAAAATCTCGTCAATATGATTTGATGTATTGACTAAAGAATAAAATGAAATCAGAATAATGCACCGAGCGTGGCAGTCGGAAATGGAATATTGCAAGCAAGAAACTGCGTTATGAGTTGATTGTCTAGGATGGGTCCTTTTACTGTCACAAACGGAAGGATATATACACTAAATGACAGGCTATATATATAAATATATAAAAAGATATATATATGTGCATGGTAGTGATAATGCTATGTGTTATTTCGTGAAGTAATGTTGGAAAGAATGATATGGAAAGCTTCGATGGTAAATAAAAAACGGTTACTTAAATAGAATAAATTGTGCCTTGATTTTGTAGCAAACTACTTCCTGCCCGATCATTCGTATTTGGATTAACTTTTTCTAGATAGATACTAAAATAATTCGAATGAACACATAGGCGTATACAAAGATACGGAGAACACACTGTTATACTAGTTTATCTACCGTGATCTGGACACGCCAATGGAGTTAGGGGCCTAACAACAAGCACGATATAAATTTTATAAAGATAAGCGATGATCAAATCATTAAAGCTGGTTATAAAACAAGTTGTCTGTCTGTCATCCACTGTTGTTGGATTAGCAGGGTACACCGCTAGAACAAACGTCTGAAAAACCTCTCGTTAACCTTACAGGCTCTTAAGCCGTACAAAATTAAAAGAGATTCAGATGCACTCGTAATACCCCGTTGAGCAATAATGCTCTATCAATATTCCTCGGTTGTACATTTTATGACGTACCTGCATTTGTTAAAGTCGCGTTGTCTGAAATGAGTAGACAGTGCAACAGATATACATACACTTACGCCTGTGGCACCGCTGATAAAGTGCGAGTAAAAAGACGATGATGGAGCTGTCAGTCTGGGTCGAATATTATCCCCCCGTACCCTGGTGCCAGCGAATAAATGTGTGTAGACCGGTCGTTGCTAGGGAAAATATTTCTCAAGTAGCTCTTAATGCCGATACTGGGCCTAAAACACAAACTACTATCTATTTAATGCTAGGCGTTAGATAGACATATGTGACTAGAAAGAGGTGGGTTCTGCTATCGTTCAAGTTTAGAATGCGTATGCCTTCCACTAAATATTAGCTAACATAGCTGAGTTTCGTCTCTAACTGTAAGCCAGCCTGGAATAGAATATATCCGATGTAGGTCTGCCATTAAGAAGTCATCCCAGCTTGTTTAGCTCGTTCAACCTCAACACATCTGTAGCTACCGGAGGGCCGTCAGGCAGCCATTATTGAACGTCTAATATAATTGAATCTTACACTGAGACAATTTGCAAGTTGAATCTTACACTTTAAGCTGAGACACTTGCAAGTTTTTCAAATTTAACAACATAGTAAGTTTCGCTTCATCGTAACTAAAAAAGGCCCAGATTAGCAGACTGCGTACGTGTGTCGCTAGCTCCCGGCTATCCGTTAGCGTATATACTAGAGCTATCGATGCGGTGCAGGCCTCTATGCAGGGCATATTTTCCATCGTAAACTCTATCGTTTAGTCATTATACGGTTGCTTCAATAAATGATATTGTACCTTTTCGAGAACTCTTTGAATAGTGTGTATGTGTGTGTGTGTGTGTGTGCGGACATAATCTATAGCTAGATAATTAAAAATAGAACAATTTAATTTTTGTGTAATAACGGAACGAAACGAAACGATAGTAGTTCTAATGATACAACAAAACACAAGTAGCTAGCCCACGAGAGTGGATAAAATCAATTCGTTTGTCTAGCCAAGATCGCGTAATTTGTGACGCAAACGTTTTTTTTTTCCTGCTTGACCTCTTCATGTGATCAACTGAAACTTTCTATGCCTCAAAATTAAAAATGTTCCCTTCTGCTATCCCTTATGAGACTGCTAGATTAAGTATTAGTGCATAAAGTGGACTACTTTGGCCCCCTTCATGGCAGTTATGTGTTTGACCCGCTTTTTAGGGCGAATACATCTGGTTCGATCTCTGGAATGGTTTGAACGATACCCAAAACAGGAGTTCAAGCCTATATCAATACGAGCGGGATTCTCTATGAAGTGGTCATAGCTGCCATCGTATAAATTGAGATAACTCATTACAAATCGAGACTGATAGTAAGTTACTTATGCGCACCCAATATGTCTGAACTAAGATGACGGCATTAGCGGTAAATCATTCGCTTATTTGAAAATCCGCGCCGTATCATGATTCGTGTAGTGTTTGTTTAAAGTTATTTGTCTGTGGGTTCAGGATTCATTGTTACATTTGATATCATATCCCAATACGGCAGTTGAGAAGGGGTCGTATTTTATCTAGGTTATTAAATTATGTTAAAATTATAATATTATGTATTTTCGAAGTAGTTTATGAAGTAATAAATATTTTATAACTTTTCAAGCTAGAGCCCATATTGTGTCTAGTCTGCGATGGGTCTTCAATGCACGCCCCTGCACTATCCGTTTCAGCCATATCATTTGAGGTCTGGTTTATTAGGAGAAATGCCGATCTCTGACCACAACGCGTAACAAAGAGATCGTCGTTTAGGTCATGATCGGCACTAAACCACAGCATCGTTAATATGTTAAGTTTCGTGCCATGAAAGGCCCATAGAGAATTTCTATGAAGCAAAATGCGCTTTAACTTTGACAGGTTTTAAATAAGTAACCCCCATGTACAATAAAGGATAGCACCTATTTTTAGAACAAAGCTTCACGAACGCGGCCCACATGCACAAATGCTAAAAAAAATGCAAAGACATCATTAAAGATTAGTGGTACAACATATGTGCCTTACTGATTAACACATTAATCAAGTGTATCCGTAAGGCTCCATTTTAGATCAAATATTTTGTAAGGGTTGACCATAAGCTATGGTGTACAGTCTGTTCGATCCTCCGGTTACGTATAATCATTTTACATGAAACTTCTTGCATGCAGAAACTAATAGGTACCAAATAGGTGGTAAAAGTGTTGGAAAAAAAAGGCTGGGTAAAAGGATTGTCACTTTTCAGTAAACATTAAATTCAATTCTTATCCCTTATGGCAGGCCATTCTGTTTAAAGCGAACAACTTGGCGAGAGCAAATGTTGGCACGGTCCATAGCTTGGCAAACAAATGCGTACAAAATTTTGAAGAAAAAAGAAATTGTCTTCCTATTATCTCCCAATTCAATGACCGACCAACTAAAAACAACACTGTTGGCACAGATTGATGTTACGTGCGAGAACGTGGTGATGTGTTTACATAAAACTATAACCATTCACACATTTGTCGAACGTAAATTGTAGCTGCCCTGTAATGCGTTCAAGGCACCGTTAACAGCTACGGTCCGTTATACAGAGCAGGCAACGTCCGCGTTAGTTAAGTACGATTGTCTTACCATACCTAAACGAGTTCATGTCGTATTTTATTTATTATGAAGACAATTTATTCCAATTGGACCTTGTTAAGGCTCAAAAGCGGTACGGACTATGCCCCTGGCAAGGCAAGAAAAAAGTTCGAGGGATGGAGGAGGTAAGGAGAAGAGTCGACGAACGAAATTTCTCTTTGAGCTCTCCTTGAAGGAAGGCCAGATCACACTAAGAAAAGAAGATGTTAACTAGTGGTCAATGGGGTTACACGAACGACCGGTTGGAAAAAGAACGCAAAGTAGCAACAACTGAATTGTCGTGATAAAAAACCGTCTGCATTTTGGAGCATCTGATAAAGATAAGGGTCAGCCTCTCAAGATCACTTTCTTATTGTTACCGCTACACAAAACATCAATCATTCATTTCGATATCGAATTTTTTGTATCGACATAGCTTTTGTATTATAATTGTAATTCATCACTGCGAGGCTAACTGGGCACAAACTTTGCTCATTGAAGACCTAATATCATGAGGAAAAACGCATCGATCTGATATATTGGTATCATATCCATCGATAGTTTAAAGTATCGATGTTTACTTGGGTTAATTTGCTTTGTTACTCGGCGTCGTTCAGATCTGGCTCTATCCATAGAGCTCAGAGAAAAACGTCCCACGTTTCGAAATGACAAGTGTCAGAAATTACCACCGACGACTACTGCTACAGAATGCTCCAGATGTAGATATCTCATTGTTCCTATTCTCACATTTCTCAAGTGTTTCAATCTTGATACTTAGAAGCGCTAATTGCCTACGAGTCCACTTGACTTGACCATGTCGCTAGCTTATCGCGCGTAAAGAAATTATCCTATCATATCTAGTGAGATGTCCTTATCTAGACAGCATTGGACTAGAAACATCTCTCACTGATGACGTGTACTCTACAGCGGTACATTTATCTGGCAAAAGATCCTACGTTATGGAAAGCAAAAAGGCCTTTTACGATAAATGTCATGGTTTATTTTGAGTAAATGCAGACGAGCATGTTGTTTTGACCTCTGAGTTTGCCTTGAAATACAGTTCCTATCATAAGGTTGGCGTCAACCTAAACACATGGTCAGTTAAGTAGATGCGCCGCGTGCAAGCGGGAAGTATTACCGGGTCAAAGAGGAATGCCCGCCATTTTGTCGTCTAATATTCGATATAATTGGGCTTTCGGCGATACATTCAACTACCTGTCTCCTATCCATAGAGTAATTTAAAAGCATTTGAGCGTGTGATTTGTATTTCACGAGCGGGTTTAAGTCAGTGCTGTGTTCTTTTGTGGCATCCAATGCTACAGAGCGTACCTCATATTCTGTGTCAAAACCAAAGTCCACAGCTCATAAAAACTGCTGACGCCCTAAACGGATTGTGAACCGTACCTGCAAGTGATACTAATGGCTTTCCAATAGACAAAAGGATTTTGGAAACAGCTCTTGTTCTGCGCATTGTCAAAGCGGCTACGGATGAAAACCTTGTGGCAGTGTAGATTAGCCTTAGCGAGGGCGCACGTGTCTCGATGGTAGCGTAGTGGGTAACGCATTTGCGTGCAAATCCTAGAGATGTGTTGTGGTGTAGGTTCGAACCCCAGCAAAGACAGACTTCGTTTCGTGGTAAGAGCCGGAGGTTAAACTCGAGACACATAAAGGAGGACAAGTAGACATCTCAAGCTTTAGAGTCGAAGAGATTCACATCAAAGGTTGTGCGCCGAAGGACCTGAGTTTTCAGCACTTGCAGACCAGTCTAGTCGAATCTATTTCAATATGGACGTGGTATCGCTTCATAGGAAAACCAAAATTAAGGAAGGCTACAAGATGGAGTGTAAAAGCTTATATTTCGTTGTGATTTTTTTCAACGTTCTGGGAACTATGTATTACGAATTCACGCCAGATGCTTCTACAGTAAT